GCTAGCCTCAGATACCTACAAAAGAGGTTTCAGAGGATCCCTGCTCGCATTCCCTTCTAGCTGCCCTGAGGACCCTCTCTTGGATATCAAAGCTATGAGTTCCTCAAAACCTGTTTTTGAATGTTCATTGGGCCCTGGAGCATATATGATCACAGGCTCAACAGCTGGGACACACAGCCAGGGAAAATCCAGAAAGATTCACCAGCCTTTGACCTGGCTCCTCCCGAATCTTACCTACCTCCTCAACTCTGCAAGATGACTACAAACACAGGCTCTTGGAGACACCAGGAACTCAACTCCCACCAGCAACCACTTAAGACAACTGCTCTGGTCCTCAGTCACCCAGTATAGGCCATAAGAGCACAAGGAGGGGAAGCTATCTAGCTGGTAGATACAGACACTAAGCCTTTTCCTGGCTGCTCAAAGACGGAGGCAGGACGGATCTCAAGAGGTGAGGATTTCAATTCCAGCTTGTCCAGGCCCACTTACTTTGATTACCAGGCCTATTACCTCCTAAGAGGAAAACCACAGCTCTGCCCAGTCCCACCCAGCTCCACCCAACACCCAAGGGTGGAGGAAGTAGGGTTCCCAGAATCAGCTGTAAGTGAACACTTACAGAGAACTGCCAGAAAGATAGCAGCTGTCCCCACAGTGTCAGACCCAACTTGGGGGGGCATGGGACCTAGCTCCTCAAACCTAAAGTGTGTACCCGATTCTCAGCAAGCAAGACAGAAAGGGCAGCAGACCCAATTCTGCTGGCTTTACAGATTAGAAAATATGAAGCTTCGGTTTAGGTTACACAGCTAGTAATTAGATATCAGTCGAAAGTCTTACAGTCCATCTGCACGCTGGACAGGGCAGGCACCTTCATGCCGAGCGGGCAGAAGCACTGACTGCCGCCACTGGCCAGGACCTGTGCTGAACCAAGGCAACTGCTTGCTCTGCTGAACTAAGAACATACATGGTAACAGGAGAAAGTGAAACCCTACTCTGACGCAGAGACAGATCACTGTTGTAATATAAGGTAAAGCAAACCAAAGTTGCCATTCACCAGGCCAAAGACTCTCAAAACGCCCATCATGGTCCATGCAGCTTCCTGGGGACTGGCGACCAATCAAAAGTGTGAGGACTGCTACTGACCATCATCACTCCTCCCACTATTACACAGGTGAGAAAATAGAGGCCCTGAAAAAGCAGCACTTATTCCCCAAACGATGGGACAGAAAAACATAAGGTCCCCTTCCCCCTACTGCAGCCCACTGGCCCTGCAGGATGTGCATGCGGGTGACAGAGCAAAAAAGCAAGAATCACAATGTGGCTAGAGAAATGCAATTAGCATTCTGTAGAAGCCCTCCAGTCACCCTACCAAGCCACCACGCTGTTCCGCGCCCCCGGCCTTACAGACTGAGTCAAGAAGTGGTAGGGCAACTAGGGGCACCTCTACCTGTTCCTGCTTCTAGGAAAAGTTACATCACATCCAGGCGAGGGTGGGAAGTGTGACGTGTCCAAGGGTTCACAGGCCACAGTGGCAGGGTGGTGGAGCCTGCTTTCTTTCCCACGGGTGCTATTATTTCTCTTTAAAGGTCACTAAAACTCAACAGCAGGAAATAGGGATTGTCACCTCCATTCACAGCCTCTAGATTGGGACTTCCTGAGCATGCTTAGCAAGAAACCCTGACCAAGAATTGGGGTGCATAAAACAACCAATGAATTAATAAACATGCAAAAAACACATAGGAGTTCAAGTAACTAATTCCTCCAGGGTCAGAAGACAGAGGAGCAAGCGGCCTTCAGAGACCACCTCTCCCTATCCTACTGTGCATTCCTATTTACCATACCTCTAACATTCTAATGTGGCAGTTGGATCCATCTTCAGCCTAAATAGCACTTCTTTGACTAATTCCTATCAGTGTTCTTGGTGGCACAGAAAATGAAACTAGGACCCAGAACTTGGGAAGAAGTCACAGAAAAGAGCACAGTGGCAGGCAAGTGAGTGAAGTTATTCACCAAATGTTTCTGATCGCCTCTCCACCCAGAAGGTGAATTTGGCCATGTGACTTGTTGCAGCCAATGAAATGCCACTTCCCCACCAGAGGCTTTAAGAGTCAGGGAAAGAATCATAAGGCTCTGTCCAAGTAGCCAAGGATATGAAGGAGCATAGGTCCTACAGTGACGGTAACATAAAGCAGATCTGTGATGGATACATAGGCTGAGCAAGAAATAAACCATTCTGCTGCTTTAAGCCACCCAAGTTGGAGGTTTACTAACCACATCAAACCCTGATCTCTGCAGACAGGCAGTGACTCTCCAGCTGTACTTCCCATTCCCTGACCCTATGGGGGCAGAGGCTATGTTATCAATCAGACCAGCAGGGATTCAGGGGTGATCTTGAGTACTCAGACTATGCTAGGTAGGTGAGATACTTTGGAAGCTGGGCCACAAGGGCACCTGCACTGAAAGGACTCAGTAGTTTTGCCTCGTGCCAGGCTTATTCATGGTTTAAGCACCTCCAGGAGGAAGGCATTGTCTCGGTTAGAAGTGAGAAAATCCAACTCAGAGACCACAAGCACAGCACGCTCCCCCTTCTGTACCAGAGTTTTCTCATTTGTAAAATGGGGCAGTTAATATCTACCACACTGGGTTGTTTCAAGGATTAAACAACATAAGTAAAGCTGGGAGAGAGCTTGACATAAGTCTCAGGAAATACTAAGCCTCAATAAATTCACCATTATTCCGTGTTATTAGTTGTACGCTTGTCCATAAGTTCACAGGATTTTAAGCCAGCTAAGTGCTCCCAGGACTGACATAGTGGGATTTTTAGGCACTGCGAAAAGGAATTCTGTCTCGGAAGGTCAAAGCCCTGAGCACACGGTGGCCTACAGCAAGGCCCCAGGAAGTGGTTTGAGAATCCAGGACATCCCTGAAGCCTGGCCTCCTTGGTAACTTCACCTCACTTCCATGACCTGCAGGGCAGGCTCCTCCCATCCACACAAGGCATGGTTTTCCTCTTGACTCCACTCCCAAACATGGCAAGGGAGAAGCCTTTACCTGTCCTCAGAGCACAGCCATCCTGTTAAGAAAGGAGGGAGTCTTCCCAGAGCAGCCCCTTCCCCTCCCTTTTCCTTCTGAGGACAGTCACAAACCTCCACAGAATCAGCTGCTCAGACTGTTTGTCTGAATGAAGCAACTAAGCTTGGATCAAGTTAGTACCAACAAACACTACTGAGCACCTACTACGGGTCCAACATGAGTGCTAAGACCATGCAAGACCTACAGTTGTTCAAGGAGTGTGTTCTCAGGGGCACTATCTACAACAGCACATAGCACCCGGCAGTCTCTGAAACACTTCAGGCAGTCAAAGAAAAGGAGTCCAGAAATATAGAAAGGGGTATAGTAAGCCAGTCTCCAATTGACAGTGGAGTACAACAGTCACACAATGAAAAGGTAAAATCCATCTAGTGACCTGGGTTTCCAAGTCCTGCCCCCCCCCATTAGAAATCCTCAGAATGGAAAAGGGTGTGGGTGGCACACCACTATAACCACCACCACCCTCAGGAGACTGAGGCAGAGGATCATTGAGTCTAGCCTGGGTTACACAATGATACCCTCAGAATGGGACATAAAACTTGGGGACAGCTGAGGGAGGGACCAAAAGGTCTTGTGGGGTTTTAACACCAGAGTCTGGCCTGGATTCTGCGGGTTCCAGGAGGCATCCTGAAAGGAAGGGGTGTCTCTCCCAACCAGTGGACTAGAGGAAGGTGGCCGCTCCAGATTTCCTTTCACAAATAGGGAAGGGTGGCCCTAGCACTCTGCAGACACCAACTTCCACTCCCAGGTCAAGGGGCAGAGCAAAAACTAGGTTTAAGGCAGCTGACTCACACCTACCAGCCCTAGGAGCGACCTCCTAGAGGGCTGAGGAGACACCCCAAAGGCTCCAACCCAGTGTCCAGCACTCACTGTCCAGCACGTCCCTGTGACTCTAGGCACCAGGGTCCAAGGGCGGCCATGGAGCACTCACGACTGCTTAGCGGCCAGCGTCAGGCAGGCACCAGCTGAAGACTTTACTCCTGTGAGTACTGACGGCTTCCCATAGAAGACCTGAGTTTTGGTCCTAAAGACACGTGTTCCTGTGGTCCTGAGGCCGAAGTCCTCTCTCTCTCTCTTTCTCTCTCTCTCTCTCTCCTCTCTCTCCCCTCCCTCCTT